CCCCGCCGGCAGGGGCCGGGACCCACCGCTCATTACGACATCTTCCTCCCTGGCCTCCGCCGCCTCCGCCGCCACCGAGAGCCTGACACCGCCCGCCTAGCGCCCGCCAATCCCAGAGCCCGCCACCGCCCGAGCGACGGCAGTGCCCACCAATAAGCGTACGGTACATTGGGGACCGACAGCACTGCTAACTAATCAGAGAGACGCATCTAGAGCGACGTTGATCTGGCCAATAGGACTATGGAGTGTCACTGATGGACGGCAGCAAGCACCAACCGGAAACCTACTGGGAAATGAAAGACGCGTTCACCAGCCAACTGGCGGGAGGCAAAGTCCCGCCCCCAGGGTGGTTGATGGACAGCAACAGGAAGCGAGGTGGGGAGGGGCTTAGGTGAGGAGCGTTTCCGTATTGGTCGCGGTTGACCTTCCCCCCACCTCTAACCCAGAAGACGAATGATAGATCTGCCCGAAAGCCAATCAGAAGTCCTCAGGGGAGGCCGGCCTGTGCCCTATAAAATGCATACGCTGCCCGTGCGCGCAGTTTCTCCCAGGCGAGGCAGGGGTGTGCTCGCGCTCGGGGGCTCCCCTCGACGCCCCTGCCTGGTGAGTGAACAGACACCGTCCTGTGTTCTGCCCTGCCGCCACCCCCCTTGGAAGAGGCGACTGTGTACAGCGAGGCCCTGCACCCCGACACCGTAGCAGGAAGCCGGGATTTCCATCGTATCCGCCAAGCCTCTCTTCATTCTGAGCAGGTTTTGGCCGATGCAGTACCCCTCCCGGCCCATCCCTTACCCTTGGCATCCAAACGGAATCATCTGAACTTTATTTTTTTCAGACAGGATCTCGCTGGGTAGCCCAGGCTGGCCTCGAACTCAGCAGTCCTCATGCCTCAGCCTCCCGGAGTGCTAGGATTACACTGCTTTTGAAATCTTTCCAAAAGCAGGATTCCGGGGCCTCCTCCTTATCAGGCGGAGCACTTTGGGGCGTGTCTGGAATGTGCGTTAACCCGTGCCCCAGAGCGCTTTGGAGTGGGAGACCCCTGCTTGGTCTCTGGGTGGGAGAAGGCGCCGGTTGGCTCGCTCTGTCTTCCAAGCCTCTCCTGTGGACGCCTAGCCTGGCATTAGTGAGGAGGCCCAGCCTGGCTTCCAGACCTGCACATCCCCTTCTGGTGGGACCTTTAGGCAGGGCACCGAAACTCCCCGCGCGATGTGTCCTCATCGGTAGAGAGGACACCCCCTACGCAGTGGCCTTGTCAAGCCATTGCCTGCAGTAAGATAAACGTGTTTTGCATCCTGATCTGGCACACTTACGCACGTATAGTAGTATATAGCAAACTTTCCTGAAACAATATTTATCTTTATTCCTGGGGATGGAATCAAGGCCAACTTTTTTTTTTTTTTCCAGTGCTGGGATTTGAAAGCCAGGCCCCCTTGTATGAAGGGCAGGCACTCTATCACTTGAGTTAGGTTCTTGGCACAGATAGATCTGTTCTAGCCTATCCCATTTTACTCCTCTTTCTTTCCTAACCTATGTCTTTTCTTTCTTGATCATGACTGGCAGTTTGAGAAATCCCGGCAGGAAAGGTTGGTGTGCAAGCCAGGAATGGTGGTGTGCACCTGTAATCCAGCATTCAGGAGGCTGAGGCAGAAGGATCACCTCGAGTTCCAGGCCAGCCTGTACTACATAGACCCTGTCTCAAAAAACAAACAAAACAAGAAAGAAAGTCTCTGGCCATACCACCCTTAACACGCCAGAGCTTGTCTGATCTTGGAAGCTACGCAGGGTCAGGATGGTTAGTACTTGCTGTGGTATGATGGCGTACACCTGTAATCCCAGCACTAGGGAGGCTGAGGCAGGAGGATCGTTGGGAGTTTGAGACCAGCCTGGGCTAAAAGTGAGCTCAAGGCCAGCCTGAACTACATAGTAAGACCCTGTCTCAAAAAGACAAAAAAAGAAAGAGAAAAAGCTTGGACAACTTAACAATTTAGTGAGACCCTGCCACTGCTACAAAAAATGAAATACAAAATAAATACATGTGAGGCAAAATGCTTAGTATGCAGCACATTACCTACCAGTCTACTCCGGATGTTAGCCTTTGAAAGACAAGGCATAGACAGGCATGGTGGCACCGACCTGTCATTCCAACCCTCAGGAAGCTGAGGAAGGAGGATTGCTTCAAGTTTGAGGCCAGCCTGGACTACATAGTGAGTTCAAATCCAGCCTGAACTGCACAGTGAGACCCTGTCTCAAACCAGCTGTGAAGGGATATCACTCTTCTGGTTAACCTTCACTGGGTCCTTGTATCTCTGGGTAAAGCCAAACTCCTTTCTCAGCAAACAAGGCCCTCTGCACTCTGACTTATGTGTATTTCATGCTTTATCTCCATCCATCCATATTTTCTTTTTTTTTTGTCTTTTTAAGACAGGGTCTCACTCTACAGTTCAGGCTGGCCTTGAGTAGCCCAGGCTGGTCTCAAACTCACAGTGATCCTCCTGCCTCAGCCTCCCAAGTGCTGGGATGACAGGTGTGAGCCACCATGCCCGGAGTCCACCCATATTTTCTACAAGTCCTAGTATTTTCTCTCAAAGAAAATTCAGATCCCTAAAAGACTTCTTTCCAGTAGTTCCCTTCCTACCCTTACCGTTCCTTTCTGCTAGTAAACTCCTATGCATCATTCAAGACCTTACCCTGCCCAGCTAAACATGGTCCTCTGTGCTCTCCTGGGTTTCTCTAGACACCTGCAAAGGGTTCCGCATCCCCCCTCAACTCCTCTAAAAGACAGCTGCAGCGGGATTGGGGACAATACGCAGGATGGCCAGGAAGTGTTAAAAAATGAATATTGGCATACGATTACATCTGTATGGGGCGGGGCTTGTTTATATGGACCAAGCATTCTGTCCTGGGCCTGTTTTCAGATTGATTGCTTCACTGTCAAGCCAAGGACCTCACAGGGTTCTACGACTGTACTCAGCTGACTGAGCTGGGAGCGGGGGCAGGGGCCGCGGGAGGAGGCGGGGTGCCCTGTGCTGCTGGGCCACTGCCGGCCTTCTGGGACAACAGTTGGTGGTCACGGCTTCTCCCACCCCAGGGGCCCCACCGGGAAGACAGTAGTGTGCCCATGGGTGGGGGCAGGGTGAGGGTCTGGAGGGTTTCACCGGGGGTTTGGAATTATTGCAATGGTTTTGCCCTTTGTTATTGTTTATTTTATTGTTTTGTTTTTTCAGACTGGGTCTCACTATGTGGCCCAGGCCGGCTGGGAACTCTGGGTGATCCTCCTGCCTCAGCTTCCCCAGCACTGGGACTAGAGCCGAGTGCCACGACTCCAGGTACTTTCAACAGGTTGTGAAGTCTGCCCCATCCCAGGAATGGGGCCTGGGGAAGGCAGGTGCCCAGTGAGAAAGGGCCTGGGGACAGGCGCTTGCATAGCAGGACTCCCTGGCCCAAAGATCCTCTATAGGATGCCCCACCAGCCCCTGCAGCCCTCCCCTTCCTGGATGCCCCGCCCTACCTGCTGTGGTCCGCAGTCCTTACTTCCGGCTCAATCTCCAGCTCAGCACAGCCAGGCCCTGTGTGCTTCCAGCGGCGTCTCCCGCCATCTTCGTCCTGCTCCCACCCGTCAGCCTCCTCTTCCAGCTGTCACTCTCTCGCCATTTCCGATTTGCAAAGCTACTCACTCTCCCCTACTAAGAGCCACTAGGCAAGCACTCTGCCACTGAGCTACATCCCCAGCCCTTTGTATCTGGTGACAGTGTCTCACTGAGTTGCCCAAGCTAGCCTCAGACTTGCGATCCTCCTGCCTCAGCTTCCCAAGTAGCTGGGATTGCAAATGTGCGGCCCTGCGCCTGCCTCCCAGGTTTGCCTTCTCCACCACCACACCTTCTATTCCCAGCACACTGTCCCATGGCGGTGGGCACACAGTAAATGTTTTTTGACTGAATGTCCTTTTAACGCTTCTCTCACCCCTTCTCTTTCAGGGCCAGCCCCCTCCACCACCAGCCACTTCACTTCTCCTTCCCTGTCTGCCTCTTACAGCTGGCCTCAAGTTCAAGGCGATCCTCCTGCCTCAGCCTCCTGAATGCTGGGATCACAGGCGTGCACCACCAGGCCCAGCCACCTCAGCCCTCTAAAGATGGCTCCTTTGGCCTTAAGGGTTTCCCAGGAGCCTCTGCGTCTCCCCTTCTCTCCTCTGGCCTTCCGTTTGTGCTCCTGTTCCCTCCGCCTCCAGGGAAGACTTTCCAAGCCATCCCTGCCCTTTCCTCGAAGGCTTGAAAAGGATCAGAGGGACGGAGACCCAGGCTGAAGGCGTCGCGGTTGTTTGCCTCTCAGAGCCTCAGTGACCCAGGCTGCCCCAGGGGTCTGCGCTGTGAGAAGTAGACAGAGCTGTGACTGTCCACAGGGCACTGTCTGCCCTGCCCACCAGGCCGCTCCTGACTATGCCCTGCTCCTCTCCTGTGCCCGCTGCCCTGCCTGGGCGATGGCCGCCACCAACTGCCACAGAACCTTCCAGCAAGGATGTTCCGCAGCGTTCTCCCTACTGACCTGGATGGGCAAGGGAGGACCTGGCTGGGGAGGAGCCTTTTAGGGTGGAAGCCCCAGGTCTCCCCTCGCTTTGTGTGTCAACACCAGGGGGCGCCCACGGCATTCCCAGAGCCACAGCCCAGTGTCTAACTGGACAGGGAGACAGTGTGGCTGCAGGGACCAGGCCCGGCTGTGCTGCGTCCCTGTCCTCCCTCTGCCAACCCACATGCAGCTCCACAAGCCCGTCCGCTCGGCTCCTGCGAGTCCAGACTTTCCGCAGTGGCCAGGCGTGGTGGCGCACACCTGTAATCCCAGCACTCAGGAGGCTGAGGCAGGAGGATCGCTGTTGGTTTGAGGCCAGCCTGGGCTACTGGAATCATCCCCAGGGACAAAGGCAGGCGCAGTCCCATGTCCATGGCTGTCTGTCACTTCAGGCCCCCTGAACCCCTTTCTCAAAGCCACACCTCGGTCAGACCCCAGCCCCCTGAGGGTGGTCTAGGCTCCCTCCCCAGGGTGGAAGCTGTGGATTCCCAGAGGCCACTGGCTGGGATGCGGCCCTGGAGCAGGGCCCAGCTGGCAGAGACTCGGGAAGTGGGCACCGGGGGTAATAACAATAACAATCGTCCTGTTCCTAATGACACAGGGCCACAGAGGGCTGTGAAATGCCCTCTAATGATGCCTTGTATTTATAGATCCCCCTCTTCAGAGCCATCACTCAATTACCGCTCTCAGCTTCCCTGCGAGGGACAATTAACCCCGTATTTTATGGCCACGGGAAACCGAGGCACTGAGACAGGGAGGGAGGTATGGCTGAGGTCACACAGTGCATCAGCGACAGCAGAACGTGTAGGGTGGCACCGTCTCCCTCCAGTCCCCCAGCTCCGGGTGCTCATGGTGCCCCCAACTCTGCCTGGCCAGCACCTCAGCCAGGACCCTACTGTGGCTCAAGGATGTACCTTTTTTTGAGACAGGGTGTAGCTGTGTACTCCAAATTGGCCTTGATCTCAAAGCAATCCTCTTTCCTCAGCCTCCTGAATGCTGGGATGACAGGCACGCGCCACCACACCCAGCTAGGCTCTGCCCTTCTAATGCCAGCCACCTGTACCCCTGAAAAGCCCCACTAACCTCTCCCATGCCACAGTATTCAAGATGGCAAGGGTAACTCCTAGCCAGAACAGTCACGTGCAGCTAGGCGTGGTGGCACACCTATAGTCCCAGCACTTAAGAGGCTGAGGCAGGAGGATCACCGCAAGGTCAAGGTCCATTTGAAGTACATAGTGAGATCCTGTCGAAAGAAAGAAAGGGAGGGGAGGAAGGAAAGAGAGAGAAAGAAGGAGAAAGCGTGTGCAGCCTGGGGAAGAGGGAGCAGGACAGAGTGGCAGTCATGCACTCCGCCTTTCCATGAACACTAAGGTCACGGGAGCACAAGGCCTGCATTCCAGCTGCAGGTCCTCAGGAAGGTGTAGAAGAAACAGGAGGTGCTTTTGCACAGTCACAAGTCAAGCCTGGGGGTGGGAGTGTGCTGTGGCTGGCAGCAGGGGAAGCAAGGTTTCCTAAGCCAAGAACTTTCTGGTCACATAAAGTAGGGCACTGAAAGCCAGGCGCACACCCGTAATCCCAGCACTCGGGAGGCTGAGGCAGGAGGATTGTTGCAAGTCCGAAACCAGCCTGGGCTACAAAGTGAGCTCAAGACCAGCCTGAACTGCATAGCGAGACCCTGTCTTTTTTTTTTTTTTTTTTTTTTTTTGCAAGACCTTGTCTCAAAGAAAGGGAGGGAGGAGGGAAGGAAGAAAGAAGGAAGAAAGAGAGAGAGAAAGGAAAGGAAGGAAGGAAGGACACAAGGAAGGAAGGAAAGGGAAAGAAAGAAGTAATGCCCTAGAACCAGGCAGGTGGCACACACCTGTGATCCCAGCACTTGGGAGGCTGAAGCAGGAGGATCATCAAGAGTTCCAGTTCTGGGGGCTGGGGATTTAGCTCAGTGGCAAAAGCGCCTGCCTGGCAAGCGCAAGGTCGTGAGTTCAGTTCCCGGTACCGGAGAAAAACCAAAAAAAAAAAAAAAAAAAGAGTTCCAGTTCTGTGTGGGCTACATATCGAGACCCTGTGTCTGAAAGCCAAAATAAAAATAAGTATGGCACTGGATTAAATTACCAAAGGGGACAGTGAGGTAAGAGAAGGATGACATTTGGCCGTTAAGAATGCTGCCTGGAAAAAGCCTTCCAGTTGGACACCGGAGCTGGGAGCCCATAGGTGTCCCTGTGTGGGGGACAGCGGTGCCCACCGAGGTGACCACACACCCACCTGGAGTCCTCAGGCCGCCCTGCGGCTCTTTCTGCCCTCCCTGGCCTCTGACCCCTGCGGCCGCCCTCCCCAGCTCCTGGTTTCACCTCTGAAACTCCGAGCTCCACATTGCTGAGATTTTACTAGGGCTCCCAGCTGGGTCCCACCTTTGATCTGGCTTCAAAAAATAAAAAGCAGCAGCAGGAGAGTAATTTTCCCCGGGGGCTGTGGGGAGGGAGGCAGGCTGCAGGCAGGTCCTGACCAGCCCTGGAGTCAGAGCTGGCGGCGGGAGTGGGGGCCACCAGAGGGAAGCCTTCTCCCCGCCTTGCCTTCCTCCTCCTCCTCCTCCTCGATCCCAGAGCCCAGGCCTTCTCGGCCGCCCTCCCTTCCCAGCCGGCCAGCTGAGAAGGAGCCTGAGCTGCCCCAGACCCGCTCCCCAGGCCCTGCTGCCCCCGCTCCGCCCGGAGCCCTGGGCTGGATTAGGCTGGGGCTCCCCATCTGTCCTCTCCGCACCCTGCCTGTCACTGGGGAGGGGCACTGACCACTTGGGGTGGGGCCTGGCGGTGGGCAAGCCCGTGCCCACTTGGCTGGGCACCTGAGACATTACTCAGCTGGCTGTCTCTGTGCCAGCGGGGCCATCATGGGTGGCTGGAATAGGCAGGGCGGGCCAGGCCTGCTGGTGTCCCAGGGTGGCCATCGTCGGCCACACGGCCCTGCCTGCTCCATTCAGAGCTTCCTCGGCCCTCACCAGGCCTCGGACGCCTACTAGGTGCCTTCACGTGGTTCCTGGGCAACGCAGGGCCACCTCCCTGAGGCCCGGGGTTGGGAAGGGGTCCCGTCCGGCCAGGTAGAAAGTGACAGCCGAGTTTGGCTGGACAAGAGCTGAGGGTAAAGGATGGGGTTGGGCACCTTCTACTCCTGAGGGTCCTGCCTCGGCCTTTCCGCTCATGGGGGCCTCCTGTGTTTCCATGTCCTCCTTTTGCCATCTCTGGGTCTCCCTTCAGGTAAGATGCCTACCCCCCATATATACTCCCAACGTATTTCCTAAATATGGGGACTCTGAGGCTGAGGCAGGAAGATCTCAAGTTTGAGGCCAGCATGGGCAACTTAGTGACTTCGGAAGATCCTGTCTCAAAAAGCCTCTTCACCTGTCCCCACTGCAGGAAGCACGAGCCCTCCCTGGAGCTGTGGTGGGAGGAAGTTGCCCCTCCGGAGCACACCCCACCTTGCCCTGAGCAGGGGCGGGGGTGGGGCATAGAGGAGAGATGGGGGAGCTGGGAGCCAGCAGGGCAGGGTGCAGTCCCAGGGCCGCAAGCATGGAGCCGGCAGCTGGGACCTGTTCTATTGGTAACTTTTTTCCTAGAAGAGAAGAGGTGAAGGCCTCAGTGGGGAGCTGCCGGCTCTGAGGTTCCCTGCAGCTCCCCAGCCCCTCCTGCAGGCTTTGTGCAAGAGCCATAAATCTCTCACCACCCACGGGCGGGGCGGGGGGGTCTGCCACTTTCATGTCGGGAGGTTTACGTTTGCACCTCGCCTCCACCAGGCTCCGGCTCCTGCCTGGGGCCGCTCCTGGCCTGTAAAAATCCAGCCCATAAATCTGCAGCACCCCTGGAGCCCCCCACGCCACCCCCACCTGCGAGCGAGCACTCCCCCAAGACAGAGGGACTTGCCCGGCTGGGTCAGGGCCTGGGTTCCCGCTTCCAGCCCTGGGGGGCTCCGAGGGTCCGAGGCTGCGGTGCCCACTCCCTGCGAGCTTCCACCTGTGCCTCCCGAGACAGGTGGCTGTCCCTGTGCCAAGGCCCCGGGGCAGTCAGAGGTGGCAGGCAGCCCAGGGACGGTGCTGCTTTCCCAGGGCAAAGCGGGGAACCCGGGAAGGGAGAAGGGGTACCGGTGGCGGAGGCCCGGAGGGTCACAGATGACCTGCACGGTCCCGCAGATTCCGTGGGGAGCACGTTATTTTATAGTTTGTTTGAGACAGGGTCTAGCCACCTCTCTAGCCCCCGCCCAGCTAGGGAAATACACTTTGTTTTGGTTTTGGTTTTGGTTTTTCTCTGGTACCAGGAACCGAACTCACGACCTTGCACTTGCCAGGCAGGCGCTTTGCCGCTGAGCTAAATCCCCAGCCCCCCAGAAAGGCACATTTTAACTGCCCAGCTGGTGGGGGAGTCAGGGTCCGCGTGCTGGATGTAGGCAAGAAGGGGCCAGTGGCAGGGGTGGGGGATCTAAGGGCGGTGGCAGGCACGGGAGGGGAGGGACTGCGTGGGGTTCCCTGTCGGAGACGGGGAGAGGGGAGGGCTGCGGAGGAGCAGGGCATCTCCAGGGGCAGGCCGGCGAGTGGGCTCACGGGTGCCGGGAAAGTGCGGATCCCACACCTGGCTCTGCCCTTCCTGCTGGGAGAGGCGAGGTGGGGAGGCAGCCTGAGAGGGCACGGAACAGCCTGCCCCAGTGCCCCCCGGCCACCAGAGAGGACAACAGGAAACCCAGGGTCCCTGACCTGGAAGTCCTCTCCCCTGTCCTGTCCTGCCATGTACTGGCCCAGCTGGCCCGCATCCTGGCCCCGCTGCTCCTCTGCCCGAGGACTGCGTGCCAGCTGCGGCCGGGCACTGCTGCGGGGTCCACCGCAGCTCCTCCACTCGTCCCGGCCTCTGCGCTACCCGCCTGTCTTCCTGGAGGCAGCTTAGCCAACCGGGGACCACACAGCTGGGCGACGGCACAGGCCCCAGGCGTCAGGACTCCGGGGCACCTCGGCCTCCTCCCGCCTCCTGCACAGGCCTTTGGCGTCTGGGGTGGCTCTGGCCGTCAGGGGAAAGCCTGCCTTCTGCCCTTGTGCCCACCCTGGGTGGAGGCCGCCTGCACTGGCTCCCACCACCCGCGGTACCAGGCTCCCGCTAGCGCCCAGCCACCGCCGGGACTGGGCAGTGGCAAAAGTGAAACTGACTCAGCCGGTTTCCCACCCCCAGGGAAACGGGGAACAGCCTCCGCTGGACAACAACCAATTAGGCACTTTTTATTACCCACGCTGTCATAATCCTGCAGCGTGGCTGGAAGGAGAGGAGGAAGTGCTACAGGATGGAATGCCAGGGTGCTTCCCGAGGAGGCCCCGCTTCCGGCCGCCAGCACTTCCCTCCGGGGAGCCGAGGGCCTCTCACCCACAGGTCGTTTGGCATCTTGGGGATCTCTCCTGTCCTGGGCCCCCACAGTTAAGGCAGAGCCGCCATCTCTGTCTATGCCAAGCGCTGGCCGGGGGCAGTGAGGCCCCTACATTTCTGGAGCCGCGGGTGCCACTGGGGTGTTGGCTGGAAGCTGGCTGGTTTTTGGGTGCATCTAACTCCTCTCAGACCGGCACCTTCCAGGGGGCAGTGGTCCGGCCTCCCCCATCAGACTGAAAGCTCTGTGAGAGGGTCTCTTCCTGAGTCAGCTCTGTCCCCAGCACGTCACTCCTGTCCACCCGCAGTGGCTATGGCTCTGGCCCAAGCGGCTGCACTCTGGTTGGGAAGCAACCCCAGCCTGTGGGGGTTCAAGCCCTGCCTCCTCTGTAAAGCACACTCATCTCTGCTTGTTACAGAGACTGAGTATGGCCGGCTGGGCATGGCACACACCTGTGATCCCAGCACTCAGGAGGCTGAGGCAGGAGGATCGCTGGGAGCTCAAGGTCAGCCTGGGCTACATACATAGCAAGACCCTGTCTTAAAAAACAAAAAACAAAAAGCAAAAAAAAACATTGAGGCACGCGATGGGTCCTTTTCCAGTGTGGTCCTCATCCAGCTTGTTGGAGGAACAGGGGGCAGAGACAGACAGAGGCCACGGCCCCTCCCAGACCACGGATTCCAGGTCACATGAAGGAGATGAGAGGAAAAACCAGCTGGGTGTGGCAGTGGCTAGGAGACGGGCCCTAGTCAGAGGCGCGCAGAGGTCTGGCGACCACGCTGGGCCCTCGTGGCCTCAGGTTAGTCTCCTCACCCTCTGCCTGTCGCCTCCCCGCTCACTGT